GGCTGTAGTGGTTGTAGGGGCTGTGGTAGTTGCAGGGGCTTTAGTGGTTGTAGGGGCTGTGGTGGTTGTAGGGGCCGTAGTGGTTGTATGGGCTGTGGTGGATGCTGGGGCTGTAGTGGTTGTAGGGGCTGTGGTGGTTGTACGGTCTGTGGTGGTTGTAGGGGCTGTAGTTGTTGTCGGGGCTGTGGTAGTTGCTGGGGCTGTAGTGGTTGTAGGGGCTGTGGTGGTTGCAGAGGCTGTGGTGGTTTTAGGGACCGTAGTGGTTGTAGGGGTTGTGGTGGGTGCTAGGGCTGTAGTGGTTGTAGGGGCTGTGGTGGTTGTATGGGCTGTGATGGTTGTAGGGGCTGTGGTGGTTGCAGGGGCTGTGGTGGTTGTAGGGGCTGTAGTGGTTGTATGGGCTGTGGTGGTTGTAGGGGCTGTGGTGGTTTTAGGGGCTGTGGTGGTTTCTGGGGCTCTGGTGCTTTTAGGGCCAGTGGTGGTTTCTGGGGCTGTGGTGGTTGTAGTGGCCATGGTAGTTGCAGGGGCTGTAGTGGAAGCTGTGTTGGTTGCAGAGGTTGTGCTGGGAGCTGTGGTGGTTGCAGGGGCCGTATTGGTTGTGGGGGCCGTAGTGTTTGCAGGGGCTGTGGTGGTTGTAGGGGCTGTGGTGGATGCTGGGGCTGTAGTGGTTGTAGGGGCTGTGGTGGTTGTAGGGGCTGTAGTGGTTGTAGGGGCTGTGGTGGTTGTAGGGGCTGTAGTGGTTGTAGGGGCTGTGGTGGTTGTAGGGGCTGTAGTGGTTGTAGGGGCTGTGGTGGTTGTAGGGGCTGTAGTGGTTGTAGGGGCTGTGGTGGTTGTAGGGGCTGTAGTGGTTGTAGGGGCTGTGGTGGTTGTAGGGGCTGTAGTGGTTGTAGGGGCTGTGGTGGTTGTAGGGGCTGTAGTGGTTGTAGGGGCTGTGGTGGTTGTAGGGGCTGTAGTGGTTGTAGGGGCTGTGGTGGTTGTAGGGGCTGTAGTGGTTGTAGGGGCTGTGGTGGTTGTAGGGGCTGTAGTGGTTGTAGGGGCTGTGGTGGTTGTAGGGGCTGTAGTGGTTGTAGGGGCTGTGGTGGTTGTAGGGGCTGTAGTGGTTGTAGGGGCTGTGGTGGTTGTAGGGGCTGTAGTGGTTGTAGGGGCTGTGGTGGTTGTAGGGGCTGTAGTGGTTGTAGGGGCTGTGGTGGTTGTAGGGGCTGTAGTGGTTGTAGGGGCTGTGGTGGTTGTAGGGGCTGTAGTGGTTGTAGGGGCTGTGGTGGTTGTAGGGGCTGTAGTGGTTGTAGGGGCTGTGGTGGTTGTAGGGGCTGTAGTGGTTGTAGGGGCTGTGGTGGTTGTAGGGGCTGTAGTGGTTGTAGGGGCTGTGGTGGTTGTAGGGGCTGTAGTGGTTGTAGGGGCTGTGGTGGTTGTAGGGGCTGTAGTGGTTGTAGGGGCTGTGGTGGTTGTAGGGGCTGTAGTGGTTGTAGGGGCTGTGGTGGTTGTAGGGGCTGTAGTGGTTGTAGGGGCTGTGGTGGTTGTAGGGGCTGTGGTGGATGCTGGGGCCGTGGTGGTTGCAGGAGCCGTGGTGGTTGTAGAAGCAGTAGTGGTTGTAGGCGCTGTGGTAGTTGCCGGGGCTGTAGTGGTTGTAGGGGCTGTAGTGATGGTAGGGGCTGTGGTGGTTGTAGGGGCCGTAGTGGTTGTACGGTCTGTGGTGGATGCTGGGGCTGTAGTGGATGCTGGGGCTATAGTGGTTGTAGGGGCTGTGGTGGTTGTAGGGGCTGTGGTGGATGCTGGGGCCGTGGTGGTTGCAGGAGCCGTGGTGGTTGTAGAAGCAGTAGTGGTTGTAGGCGCTGTGGGAGTTGCCGGGGCTGTAGTGGTTGTAGGGGCTGTAGTGATGGTAGGGGCTGTGGTGGTTGTAGGGGCCGTAGTGGTTGTACGGTCTGTGGTGGATGCTGGGGCTGTAGTGGATGCTGGGGCTATAGTGGTTGTAGGGGCTGTGGTGGTTGTAGGGGCTGTGGTGGATGCTGGGGCCGTGGTGGTTGCAGGAGCCGTGGTGGTTGTAGAAGCAGTAGTGGTTGTAGGCGCTGTGGGAGTTGCCGGGGCTGTAGTGGTTGTAGGGGCTGTAGTGATGGTAGGGGCTGTGGTGGTTGTAGGGGCCGTAGTGGTTGTACGGTCTGTGGTGGATGCTGGGGCTGTAGTGGATGCTGGGGCTATAGTGGTTGTAGGGGCTGTGGTGGTTGTAGGGGCTGTGGTGGATGCTGGGGCCGTGGTGGTTGCAGGAGCCGTGGTGGTTGTAGAAGCAGTAGTGGTTGTAGGCGCTGTGGGAGTTGCCGGGGCTGTAGTGGTTGTAGGGGCTGTAGTGATGGTAGGGGCTGTGGTGGTTGTAGGGGCCGTAGTGGTTGTACGGTCTGTGGTGGATGCTGGGGCTGTAGTGGATGCTGGGGCTATAGTGGTTGTAGGGGCTGTGGTGGTTGTAGGGGCTGTGGTGGAAGCTGTGTTGGTTGCAGAGGTTGTGCTCGGAGCTGTGGTGGTTGCAGGGGCTTTGGTGGACTGTCTTGTGGTGGCAGGGGCTGTGGTGGAAGGTATAGAGCTGGTAGGGGCTGTGGTGGAAAGTGTAGTGGTGGCATGGGCCGTGGCGGAAGCCTCCGTGTTTCCCGTGTGTTTTGTGGACTGTGCTGTGGTATCCCAGGTGGTGGTGGGGACTGTGTGGGGTGCAGATGTTGTTCTGGAGGCGCGGGCGCTCTCATCTGCAGGGCGGGAGGGAGCGGACACTGGTGCAGAGACGCTGCCCGCGGGCCCTGTGGTGGTGGTGGCGGGCGGGGAGGTCAGGGT